GTTAACCCCCCCCCCCCCCCGTATGACTGCCACAGCGTGAGTATATGCGCCCTCGACGACCATTTCTGGCTACTAATGGCTCAGAGAGCAAGTCTTGGTTTCTAGAAGTCCAGCAATATATCAACTGGGGTGGGGTGGGGATAACTGAAAGATATGGTTAAATCAAATTCAAGCTAGACACCAAGGATGTTAGGTGTTACAATATAAGAATGTTAAGGCAAAAAAAAAAAAAAAAGAAATGTTCTCCTATTCCAGCCACCCTAATGATGTCTAATATTTGATCCCCAACCACGATTACATGCCGGACCATGTTTAAATTGTTTAAGCATATACTGTACAGTCTACAGTTATGGATAACATTATTTTCTCGCTATTTAGGCAAAGGTGACAGTTTTTGACATCGACACAACTTGAATGGTATGTGCTAGTATGTTTTTCTTTCACAAATTTCTTCGCAAAATATTATGCTGTTGCATTGACTGTAATTGTGTAACTGACAGATTTATTTTCGGTAAAACTGGATTTCTCCTTTTCTCCGCCCAATACAGATAATTACTCTCACGGGGGTGGCTTCATTCATTCATTCAATCGAAACGAAACGGGAGTCGCACAATCCTGACGCCATATTCTGTAATGCAGGTGATTTACATTTTATATCTGGGCGGTACATCTATATTTTGTATTCGCCACCAGATGGCGCTATTCTCAGTATGACCATGAGTGTGATTACTACATTGTTTGCATGCAAGACATGTTCTGATATGTCTAGTTTACAACAATATGTGACCTCATGAATCGAAGTATGAAGTGTATTCATTTGCGATTTGTTTTCAACAACAAATCCTAGCTGCTGGGCGCCTAACAAAGTCCATATACATGTAAGAAGATAGTTCTTTATTACAACCACATTGAAAGAAATTCAATTTAGGTGAATACAAATGTAATTATTCTAAAAAACCTAAAACTATACTTATCATAAAGATACAGTAAAGAAATATTACTGGTACTTGAAGATAAAAATTAAAATATTAAATTTCCATGAGTTTTTGTTTAATATCGATAATATTCTTTTCTTGTTGAATATGCTGTTTTTATGTATTTAATTAATTTTTTTATCAATGGTCTGTTCTCAGCATTTAAAATGTAAAAAAAGTGTTTCTGTATTATTTGCTTGAACAAAATTTTCAATTGATTCTGAACATTTTGTGTATAATATTACTCTGGCCTTAGTATAAAGACTGCATGATGTGAAAAACTGCAGCTCATCTTCAGTAATACCGGTATTACATTTTGCACATTTTCTATCTTAAATTTTTATTTTTGATGTCTTCCAGATTCAATGATTAGTTTATGTGCACTTAGTCTTAGTCTAGAAATAAGGCTAGTTTCTTTTCTGTTTTGTAATGTTTTTAAGTATTTGGCAATTTCAATCTTATTTTTTAATAATTTATATGTCCGTAGTTTTGGATCATTATTGCTCAAGTTCCATTTTGTTTCATAGTAATCTTCAGTTTTCTGTTTAAATTCATCTTTGTTGATGTTTTTTATGTCATGTATATTGTAAATTTGTTGTAATTTTTTGAAGATTTGTAAACCAAGAATCTTTGTATTGATTCTGTTGCTGGTCTATCTATATGCCAAGCTTATTGGACCATTCCTCAAAATATTGAGATAATATTTTATGGCTTGGTATTGTATTTTAGCAATTAAAGGCAGCCGCCCAATCTCCATTCTAGTGCCAATGTTCTGGTACATAACCTGAGGTGGTGTTTTTCTGTTTTTGTTTTGTATATGTATATGTGTGTAACGACAGTTGTTTGTTTAACTAAACATTGAAAAGCTACACTGATCCAACAATCTGGTCAGACATTAAAACGTAGCTGTTGCTAAAATGAATATGGTTCATTCACCTGTAAATGTGAGCTCGACGCATGGAGCCGGGAACAACCACAGGTGGCGCTGTATACAATGGAAATCTATTTAGGCTTGTTAATAATAATTGCACTTTAAAATAATATTCATGAGCTATGTCTACGTCATAACCTCGCTAAAGTTATTAGCATATTGTGTACGCGGTGCGTATGCGTCGGGTCCTTTTTTCGTATTCCAGTACGCATGCGTCATCACAGTGAGGTCAATTGTAATTTACACAGTTAAGGGTCTGTAAGTGACGTACAGTACCGTTAATGAGGTTCGTCAATTGCAAAGGATTTGTACACACTCCCACCATGTCGTACGCTGTAATATACAATTACAATTCTGGTTCAAACAATAACTCTGGATACGATTACACAAGTATGTCTCAGATGCACCGTTACTGTTTAAGAAATCCTTGGTTTCACATTGATAGTTTTCCCCATAAACAAATTTCAAATGTGTGTAAATCAGCCTCTTATGCATTAAGTCGTATTGGCCGTATTATAAATGTTTTAAATCGTAGTATTAGTACTGAGCAGTTAATTCAAGCTTTTATAACTTCTAGAATGGATTATTGTTATAGTCTATATTTATATCTTCCCGGTTATCAATATATATATATAATATTCATAATTCCACAGCTCGATTAGTTGCCCTCTCACGTAAACATGAGCACATAACTCCCGTTCTTCAAAATCTTCCCTGGTTACCAGTTTCCCAACGAATTCAAGTTGTTTAAAATAAGATTTTACCTACCCGACCTTTTTATTTTATTTTTCTAAATAATGTATTTTTATAACTATTTTTATGTAAAGTGCATTGAGATTATATGTTTTATGTAATGCGCTATATAAGAATTATAATACTAATAATTACTGGAACTTTTACGTAGTACGGTAGTCGCATTAGCCAACTTGCAATTGCTAAATATATGGACGAAACGAAACGAAAGGAATAACACACGTACGCGTTGTGTACGTCGCTATGAGTCCCACGTTGAACAGGACGCGGCGCGACGACCACCGCCTTTTAATGTCCTTGTCATACTTTGAAGATCATGATTATATACTCTCTACATTTAAATTATAAAAAAAAATAGGTACTTTGTAAAATATTATAATCTGGTTTAAATCAGCGAGATTCACACTGTGTGTAAAAACAAGGAAGGGAAGGATTGGTAACTCGGCATTTCCTTTACTTTACTGAAACGTATCTTGAAATAAAATGTTGACATTAATATATGCTCACTACTTGTCCGCGCAATCAATTGTAGACTAAAGAGTAATGAAAATGACCCACCGGTTTAACCTTTCTTTCTTAATGTCTAAAAATGTTTCACTAATTTCTACACACATTCTTGCTGACGAAATACATATATGCATACTAAACTAGATATCAATTCAAAACCTCGTACAGCTCTGCTCACAAAAAGACATGCTCATAGTTATTCATGATTATTTGTGACGTCACTTGTTTACGTCTCCGCGCGAGATCCTGATAAAGGCTATGTAGGCGTTCAAGTTGTAACCGGTCATTGGCCGCGATATAAATCGGGGGCCCCACCTGTCGCCACGTGTCTTCGATAAATAATTAACTTTGTTTGTGCAGAACAATGTGTCAATTTCCATGTAAAATTCAGTCCATCTGAAACCTCTAAAATGGCCGTCAACGCTTTACAAATATGACACACGCCTACATAACACATTTAATTCTATTCACGATTTACAGTGTATCCTCGGGGGCGGACATCCGGGCATTTTCACCGCCTGGCAACCCGCGGCGGTGAAAACAAAGGCCCAAAACTCGCAGAAAACGGTACTTTGGGATGATTGTTGAGACTCCTCTGAACAGTGTAACAAGATTAGCCCTACGTGTGTAACATATATAAATTTGGTTGTTCAGGATTACTTCAAAGTTGCTCGACCGGCGTTCTACAGCAGCGCGCACAGAGCCCATAGAAATGCATGTACAGTGGTGCGCGTCGTAGCAACGTGGAACGTCTTGGGACGTAGCTCCGCCCCGGATGATACTAGTAGTACATTCAGTGCCAGTGGTTTTTAAAAATAGTTTTCCCCTAGCTCGTCTGAGGGCGTACTGCTAGTGGCTAAGATCGGTACCACGCAACGCATTCGTACTATTCCACACTTTTGGTTTAATCCATTTGAAATCTGGGGGTAGAAAAAAAATCGACGGGCTCGATAGTAAGAAAAAACCTACAAAACGTCACCTGAGGGCGCGCTGCTGGGAGCTTGAAATCTGGGGGTGAAAAACAATTAAATAGATTTAAGATGGGTCAACTCCTAATAAAATCATATTAATATCTTTTTGTTAAATCTAGAAATAATATTATTAAAAAAACAAAAACAAAAAAAAAACAATTTTGGTTGAAATACCGAAATGAAGTTTGTAGTAGTTTAAAATTACTCCTCCACGAGTACATAGTACGTTATGTTCCTGTAAGTTGTATATTTTTTTTTTATTTGTTATTCATTTTAATTGTAATCCTTTTCACCACTTCCGAGGAATGTTACGTGTTAATAAAATTATTACTATTATTGAAAATCGATGTATGTCCCATCCCCTCCCAAATTTCACGGTTGAAATTTCGCCCAACACGAGTCAAGGCTCGGGGGTTTATTTCAGTGTACAATTTATGATGTTCATATTAATTTTGAGGATTTATGCGGTGTTGTTGAAAGGGTTGATCACGTTTTTTTTTTTCTCTCACCTGATCTCAGGTTTTGAATGATGGGTTTGACGTCATCACTGCGCGTTGAATCCACCGTCTCGCCACAGGGAGAGTCCATTTTATGTGAAAGGGGTTGTTGGCATTAGAAAACATGAGTTGCATATATGTTTACAGGAGCGTGTTCTGTAGAAAACAAAACAAAAAGAAAACGAGAATTAGACGAGAATTAGTGGGATATTTTTACTAATCGATTTTATCGGAAGCACGCGGATAATATGATTAACCGCAATTTGTCACATGACCATCATTTAGGTGAGTGACCTCAGATATCGGCGATCCGCCATTAGCCAGCACCCAATCTAGGTCAGCATAGTTATAGGTCGACCATAGCTGAGTGTCTGCGTACAATTTCACATCGTTTGCGGAGTTATTGGGATACACACAGCAATTTTCCATTCACAGAAAATTGTCTTCACGACTTTCAACTTGATCCAAAGCAAGAAGGGCGGTTTTTACTGGAAAGGAATCTACTGTAGCGAGAAAAAACGGAGACCGTGCGTAGTTGCTGTGTACTGTAGCCGCCACTCAGACAGACTGCTCTGATCGCTTCGAGTGAGAGAAGTGGTGCGGTTGCGTTCCGAGCCTTTACAGAAATGGACCACTGCGAAATGGAATCTAGCACCATGGACCATGTTCAGTTGCCTGTTTCTAACCCGAATGGAAAGGCAGCCCTGTCGTGTAAAGCACAGCCCAGTAATCGCATTGGTGAGTAAACGACCGATTGTTGTTCACCAACCTACATTCTTTTAGACTGAAATGCGACGTACCAAGTATACTAGTATACGATAACAACTAGCCACCATGCATATGACCTTGATCAAAGACAAAGGAGGTCGATTTTATTTCGGTCTGCTTTGCACATTGAATTGCATATTTGATTTCTTGCAATATTATGTTCATGCCATTTTTTATGAGAATGACGTAGTTCGTCCAAGTTATTTTTTTGCAGACCAACCACTCCTGATTGGTCACCGATCAAACGTACTGGAGTAATTTATTTGAGTGACATCGACCATGTCGCCCACTGCCACGGTGTTCCATTTGTTCACATGGAAAGGCATATTGAGCTTCTGGTCAATAATTCCGTGTTCAGTGGAAATCATGTCTTTCTGTTCTGATTTTGATTCTACGACTGTCACACAAACACACTGAACACTGGTTTATTGTTCTGCAATTTCGTTGTCTGGTGCTCCGTTTTTTCATTTGTTCCTTTCTTTGTGAATGTATTTTCCTTTTACTCACTGGGTCCAAAGACTTGTGTATTGTTTGTGTACTTAACTTTTACAATATAACAACTGTATAATTTACATACAATGATTTTTGGCGTATTACTCCCCAGAATGACTCACTGCTCATATCTTCCGCCATGTCGGCAAACACAACACGGAAGTGATGTCGTGACCGAATTTCTGAGAAAGTTACGTCAGCGTTTAGGTTGTTGATTGGGCCTTCAGTACTTGGCCGCCTTTATGAAGAGTTTGTGAAAACGAACTATCGACGGCGCTGACAAGGGCACTTTCAAAGGGGAGGGGGGTGGGTGGATGGGTGTCAGGTGTTAACACATGCATATTATTACTTTACATTAATTTGCTGTTTATTTTCACTGATTTTTTACAAATTTAATTTAAAGTATAGGAAAAAATGTATTGTCGCTGCATTCTATTTAAAAAAATTCCAAGTGAAAATATAGTTTTTTACAGTATAGTTTTAGAAGTCAATATTTATTTGTGTTCAGTCTTTAGTATTACAGTGATACATAAAACAATAATATAGAATATGTATACTATGAAGATTTTACGTGATTAAAATACACAGTAACAGTTACAGCCGTAACTTGTGTACTTAACCCAGAAAAAAAAATGATTACCCTGGTAAGTACTTAACCAGAATAACTAGTGCTTGCAATAACACTTGTATTCAATACTGTTTTTTCGATTCTTGTAAACGTGTTGATTGAGAAGGGAAAACAAGAAATTAAAGCTATTACATAATAATAATATAAGTACTTGTTACTTCTCAGTCACATGAAGGTCAAGCAACTATGATTTAACTAATTCTTACCATGACTGTCACAAAGTGAGGAATTTCAGCCAATCATGTTGCTGCTGTGAATAAGCATAGCTTAATTTGTAGTTGTTTTGTCATACATTCAGAGATTTCATTACATTGATCTCACGTACCAATATCCAGGTTACGGCATAAACACGGACACTCTAGAACGCCATAAACCAGTTGAGTGTTTGACCTTAATTTACTGACAAACAAAAGTGAGTAATATCATCCATAGTTGATTTTTTTTCAGTAAGTCAATGGTGTAATGTATCTTTTACCTCCATGGTGTAATGTATTTCTCACATCCATGGTGTAATGTATTTCTCACATCCATGTTGTAATGTATTTCTCACTTCCATGGTGTAATTTTTTTTTACTTCCATGGTGTTATCGTGATACATGTATAACATATTTTCTTTTATAATCACCATCAAAACAAAGAAACTCACTAAAGTGTATGGTTTAATTGTTCACACCTCGAGGTCACTCATCTGTTTGCATCTTTTGTGATTTAATTAGCCTAATTGAGAGTTTTTAATTTATAAAATGTTTTGTACTAAAATTAGCACTGAAGTGAAATATTGATGTCATCACTAATTAACCCCATGGACGACTGAATACCTGTCAAGTGATTCCTGCATCACCATGCTAGTTTTAAAGGGTATCTCAACAGTGTTCCCACCTTTTCATAAATAATATGTGGCTTACATACATCAGATTTCACCCTACACTCTGTTTCATGTAGGCATGAATCATTTGCTGCAAGTTACAGAGCACATACTAGTACCTAAGCGGCCATCCCTCAGCAAATAATGAAGCAAAGGCATTGAAATCCCGAAACTCACTCTTTTTACACAAACTGGCAAGTTTGAATTACTAAACGAAGTACAGGACGACGAAGATAAAATATCCAAGAATCTACACATATCAAAAATTATATCTCAAAAGTGAATATTTGTGGTGTATTTTAAGTCTAACCAGACCATAAGTGGAATTTTCTCAGTACTCTAAATATCATATTTTAGTATAAGATAGTAAATATATTTATAAATCCACAAAAAATTCCAAGTAATGGTGGAAACCAAATTGACGGGTGAATACTGCCCATATAGAACTCCACTGCAGTTTTAAACAAATTTGATTTGATTTGATCTATCTTTTGCATTCATGGCAGTAAATCTGCCTATGATTGAATACAACCTGCAAAGGCTCATGGGTAATGGCATTACCAAGCATCTTCTTTGGATTTAAATTAAGCAGCATAAATGATTTACAAATTATACATGTTCGTAAAACAAATTTACGCTTTTATGAAACGTGGTGTAAAATCATTCATTTCTATTAAACATTTATAAACCTTTATAAATTTTAAATGACAGTGTACCATTCATAATAACTTGACAAATCATATTGATTGATGCCTTAGTGAAAGACACCCTCCTATTTATAATCCTACAACTATCAGTGTGGATTTTGACCCATCATGTCAGTTTTCCTGCTAACTGAAAATGAAAATGTTTTAAAATTTAAAACATTCTATATCAAATTGTAATGGCAATACTACAGTAATATTAAAAATATATATCTGCAAACTATTACCGGTAGTTAGAATCGTTTTGTATTATATGGAGACAATCTTTCACATACATTGTACATGTAAATTGTGAACCGATGGGAATTATGGGTAATGAGCATCACCAAAGGGCTTCTCTAGGCAATGAAAGCAGATTTGAAAAATAACACAAAGTGAATGTTTTATACATTTTTGTATAAATAGTTCGTACTTTAGGTGAGATTCAGTGTAAGTGAATTATGTACATGTTTTATAGTGAAACCCCAGTTACCTGCACTGATCCATCATCTATCAATCAGCAGTGTTTATAAAATCCCATTCCCTTGAAAATGGATAATGTTTGTAATTTGTTGATAAATTTTTTGAGATCAAAATTTGTTATGAAAAAAGTCATTATCAGGGTTTTGAGTGTTTGTTCCTTTTCGCTATACCCAATTCTGTTGGAAACAGTCGAGTATATGTCAAAGTGAGTATATGTAAAAGTATATTCTTGTTGGCATGACAACATGCTCTAGCAGCCTTGACCACACTAGTAGCAGATAAAATGCTTAAGGTTTGAAGGATACTGGTGGGTATATTTGTCAGTAACAAATTTTGAGGTCCACTCATAGCAACCACAGTTGCAACCAATGCTGTTTTTCTTTATGGATGTTTGTCATGGATGCCATTTGCTCCAAAATTGTAAACCAGATTTTCTCTGACAGGGTGCCTAGATTGACGTTGGTATTCTCTCTGGAGATAATGCTCTAATTACTTTTAAATATGATAAACAATTAAATTTAGAAAACTCATCCTAGCACTTTTTGTTTTGCCGATATTTCATGCTAGATGATTTAATATACTAGCTCTATATTCAAAGACAGACTTACAGTGGAATTGTTCCGCCTGATAGACTGCATAGTACGGTAGAGGTTTGTTCATGCTATGATTACATCGTACATGTATGTGTGTACAGATCTGTCTATTAAAAACAACTGCACACCCACAGTCTGCAGACAATGAATGTTTGTGAATTGGTGTATAGTCGCTGTTATGTTTTTAACAATGTTTGGCACATATATGTCCATTAAAATGTACACCCATATTGATTTTTACAAATCCTTGAACGATTTTTCATCCAGTGTAAACTGCAATCCCACCTACCTAGGTATGCATTTACATAATAAAAAACATGCAGATTTATTTGTGTTCTACTGGCATTTGAAAGTATTTACCCGTATATAGGTTTACCTTCCCTTTCCATGAGTTCTAAGCACTAAGATAGTTATTTTTATAACAATTGGCATATACAATATTGCGTTGGTACACCATGCAAATGAGGAAACGTATTCTTGCTGCATTGTACATTCCAGTAATACAGAGGTTTTATAATTCTAACCACGTGCACACAAACACGTACATATGGATTAAAGAACAAGAGCGTATGCTTATGCGACTAACTGAAAATTTATATTGGGTCATTTCATTATTTAAATTCATCGTTTTAGGCCGTGTTCGTCAGAATTTAAATTATTTGGACCCTGGGGGCTGTCTATAGTTGACATTTCCAGTGGGTTCATTGCCTGCAGAATATTGTTTGAGATATTTGATTGCATGTAGAATATGATGTGGTTGTTATTGATTTTACCGTACATATAATGTCACTTTTAGGAACTTTATCCATATTTAATTAATACTAAAGAGTAAGAGTAGACTAGTTTTAATTAATGCTAAACAGTAATTCCTTTATTGTATAGTATTGAGTTTCTAGTTGCTGCATTACAAAAACAACATAATCAGTACAGAACTTGAAGCTTGTGCAGAAGAATGTCTTCCTGACACTTCCTAACACACTTTCTGCTGACCAAAGGTGTATATTAAACCGTTTAACGTCAATCAACACTTCTCCTTTTCTCACTCTGCCTCATAGCAGCTGAGTAAACAGAGAGAGCCCAAATAAATGAAAGCAAATGTCTATTATCTTGTGAATATTGCATCATCACAGAGAAAGCCAGTCAATATACGTGTCTAGACAGACTGTACCGGCTGTGTTAATATGGACGTCATTTGAATCAATTCCTGAATGTTCATGAAAACGTTT